TGAATCAATTTTCAAAACTACTATTTTATACTTTCTTTTAATGTCTTCTATTAAAACTTGATTTAAATAACGGAATTAATAAAAGTACAAGAATCAAGCCTATCAACCAGGGCTTTGAAGTAAATTACTAACAGAAAAGATGTGCCTTGACAAAAGTAGAATACTAAACTAAAGCTGTGTTTTAATTGTTCTAGGCTTTGATTTCAGTGAGTCTTCCAGTCCCATTAATTTGATCACTGACATTTCAATATGGAACATAAAAAAATATATGGAACATAATTCTGGCCTATCTTATTCAATATGTATTACAAAGGTTAACTACATAAAAGGCACTCAATTAGAAACTAGAGATATTTTGGAAAATATAGCAGACAAGGTCTCTGCATTTTTGGTGTTCACTATCTACCTAACAAGGAAGACAAACAACAAATAAGTTCTAGTAATTAATATAAGTTGTTATGCACATTGTGAAGAAGCACAGCCTAGGAAATGGAAATAAAAGTAAACACGAGAGGGCACTCTACTTCAAAAAAATGTTAACAGTTACAATGGTTATTCTGTGTCAGGCTCTATACTACATGCTTTAAATACCTTTAGTTTTCAAACCAGCTGTATAACGAGGATACTATTTTATCCTCATTTTATTAACAGGGAAAATGAGATTTTGAGAATTTAAGTAATATGGCTAAGGTCACATAACAATTAAGTGGGTAGCTGAGAAGTGATCCCAGACAGTCTGGCCCCAGGGTCCTTATATTTCAGTATTAAGAAAGCCTTTCTGGAAGAAGGTGTGTTTTGAGTTCTGAATGATATGAAGAAAAGAAGTTGGTAGGAGAAATCATGTTCAAAACTCTAAAATGAGAAAGGAGTCTTTTAGTTTCAGGGAAAAGCTCGTGTGGCTGGAGTACAGTTAGTGGGAGCAATCATGTCAAGACATAGGGCTGCAGAAAGCAGGTGCGAGGCAACAGAACTGCTAACTTTAAACTGGGCGGTGAATTGATTTTATTTATATCTTTAAACATGTCTTTAGCTGATACATGAAGAATAAATTGAAAGAAGGTTAAGAGAAGAGTGCATGTCATTCAACAATTGTTAGAATATTTAGGGAACATCTATTACTATTGCAGGCAGTATTCTAAATATGGGGGAAAATAGCTAAAAACAATCCAGAGGTCCTTTACTCTGATGTACGTATTAGAATGGTGAACTCAAATACACACACACACACGCACACGCACCCTCCCTCTCCTACATTAAAACATGTTCTTGTTCTAGACATTTTCTATAGCATGCAAGTATGCAAGTTCTGGTACCACCCATCTTTAAACAAACATGAGACAAAAGGAATCTATCCTTTGGCTTCTAATTCTACTTTTAAAAAAAATTTTTAAAATTAATTTTATTGGTACATTTTAGGTATACAATATAATGACATTCATCATTGGAAATTTGCACCTTTACATAATCTCTCTTGGTTATTTGTTCCCCATTCCCCTGCCCTCCCTTCAACTCCTCCATCCCTCCCCATTTACAAAGACATTGTTTCCATTTTTTCATTTTCTCATATTAATTCCATTCCCTTCTTTCCTTTCCCCTACCCCTCCCACTTCCCCTTTCCCTTTGCCACTTTTCTTCCTATTTCACATTATCTATTATACCATTTAGTCCTTATTTACACTTTCAGTTTCTCACACTAGAGAACCTATTCGGTATTTATAGATGTGTGCCCTATTTAATTCACTTAAGAGTAGCACCTCAATGTGCATCCATTTAGCTATAAATGTCTCTAATTTCTCATTTTTTGTGGCTGAGTAGTACTCCATTTTATTTTTTTAAAAAACACATTTTCTTTATCCAGTCTCCAGTTGATGGACAACTGGGCTGCTTCCAAGTTTTAGTTATTACAAATTGTGCTGTTATCTACTTTAGAAACCATTCCACTTCTCTCTTAACCAGAAGAATTTCTTCAAAGAACACCGTGGTAGTATTACCTCCAGTTACCATTCTCAACCCACTACAATCAAATTCCTCTCTTTTATCCCAGCAAAACTACTCCCATCAATGTCCCCATGCTAGGACTGAAGTCAAATGCTCACTTCTTTCTCCTGACCTTATTTAATCTTTCAGGTATACTACTTTCCCTCTCTTGCAACACTTACCCTAGTTTCTGTGCCATCATACTCTTCAGGTGTTGTACTTTGTTGGCCTGTCTTCATCAATATAATTAGGATGCAATGAGGCTGGGTATTTAGATCATGGACTACTAGACTTAGCTCTAAAGACAAGTTATACTTATGGCATAGAAGAGAAACATTGAGAGAAAATGCTCCCCTTCTCAAGAAAGCTAGGAACACTAAACTGTAGTGTATTTTAGGTGAGAAAGGATGGCGGTTTAGACTAGAGTTAACCACCAATGGAGATTGAGACAATTAGACAGATACTGTTTTAGAAGTAGAATCAACAGGAACTTGGGATAGATTGGATATGGAGAATGGGGAAAAGGAAAATCACAGTTTGCTTTGTGAGTAACTGGAAGAATTACGGAGCTGTTCAATTAAGTCTTGGGGGGAGGGAACAAGGTTTAAGAGACTAAAGTTTGAAGCTCAATAAAAAAGCTTGTGATATTTACCTTAAAATTACCTAATTTTAGCATTGATCTCATCTGATGCCTTTTCACTGAAATTAATTCAAATTATGTGATTTACCCAAAGTCACACAGGTAATTGGTGGTAGAAATGGAATAGGATATTAAGTCTCCCAAAATGCTAAAAAGCCACAAATCAGGATCAGGCAGGTCAACCATTGCTCACAAGCTGGTTGAATCTCTGCTGTTGGTCATCATCTTCTTCTGACCAATGTAATAAAATTTTTTAACACAGTTTTGGGGCTTATTGAATATATTTGGTAAGCTATTAACTATGCTTATATTTCCTATAAGTAGGCAATAAAAACTACTATGATCCCAGTTTGAATGATAGAATGTATTGTAAAAGTCAGTAATGTTTACTCCTGTCTACTATTTGTAAAAATTAAAGTATACATGAGATTCTCTCTTATTTTATATTTAATTCTGCCAGATAACAACATAAATAATGCAGCAACGTAGGAAAGATGTCATAAGGTAATACTAGAATAGTTGTCAAATTAATTATGTAAAAATGTGGCTTATTTCAAAAAGTATTCTGGAGTAGGTTTTAAAGGAAGGTAGGGTTCAAACTAAGCCTTCAAGGATAAGTAAAATTTTAAAAAGTAAATGAGGAAGGAGATTAAATTAAACCTAAAGAGTGTTTAGTTAGGGTGCTAGGCTTGAGTTGGGGATATGAGGTGGAAAATGAGTTACTTTTAAATTGAGTGAGTAGAGACATTTCTCTTTATATGACATTTGAGCCTGAATGATACAGGAGAACAAGGAATGTGATGACAGGAAGAATATTCCAGGTAGAGAGAAAAAATACAAATGACTACCTAGCTGTCTATATATTAGGCTACATAGATCTAATACACAGAGTGGAATGACTTTCTAAACTTGAATTTAAAATTTCCCAACCACAAATTTCTTCTGAGCTGGTTCTTTATTACCAATAACAACTAATACACAAAGAATATGTAATGTACAACTTCTGTTTTAGAAACAAAATATACATCAAAATTATAAAAATCAGTTCACAACGACAGGGAAGTTATAATAAGATGCTTACATACATAAAGTAGAAAAATGAAAAACTAAATGATGATCATTACAGGTATGGGTATTAATACTTTTTACATGTCTATATTTACACTTACTGTAGCTTTTTATGTGTGTGCTTCATCTGCCTTGCCAAACAGTAAGTAGGCTCACTTCAAGTAGTAAACATCTTAAACATGGCACCTGACACAGCATTAGTTGACATACCAAGTCTGTAATTAACGTTACTGTCCTTTGAGAGGGTGTGGGTATGCATGTGTATTCAAAATTTCATCTATTTGCAAAGGTTGAGGCTCAAGATATCACAAAAAGTTAGGGCCAGGGGATTTAGCTCAGTGGTTCTGGCACCTTGAAAGTGCAAGGTTCGGAGTTCGATCCCCGTACCCCCCTCAAAAAAAGATATCACAAAAAGGTAATGTGAGCAAGTATACATAAAAAACAGAATAAAATCCAGTTTAAGGAGAAATAAGGGGCAGTAATCATGCTATTACTGGCCAGATATTTCCAGGGAGTCATAGGAAGAAGAGAATAGGCTGAATGCCACCTTAGAGCACACAATCACCATCTAGTAAGGTATTTACATTCATCTGCAGAGACCAACTTTTCCTTGGACCAAAACCCGGAGGAGACATCAATCAAGGGGGCTTGTAGATAAGCTATCTATAGTCTACATGGAACAAGTATGGAAAAAGACATAACAATAATTCTTTTTCAAGTCTGAAAAACAAATCGAGTAAAGGCACAGAGTAAATCTGAAGAGCCGCCTAAGTTATTTACTGGATTTTGTTGTTCGTATATTAAAGGCCTCCGGATGAAACCACTGATGCTTCAATGACAGAACCCTCCGCTTTTTCCCGAAGGCTCTAGCCCAGCTAAGGTCGTCTCAGAACAGCACCCGGGTCTCCTAGTGCTGCAATGAAGGTTCAGCACCCGCCCCGCAGCTGGCCGACAGCCTGGGATTCAGGTGGGGCCTGCGCCCGCGCTGAGGCCAGTCTTAGGTCGGCCTTCCAGGCAGCTTGTAGGGTGCACGGCTGCTCAGGGGAAGGAATGTCAGGCGCAAGGGTAGATTTTTGGCTGACGAGGCTGGGGAGGAGGGTAGGCAACTCAGGGCCGCGGGTTGCACAACTCCGGGATCACCAAGGCAATCCCTTCGGGGCCACAAAAACGTCTCTTGCCTCAGAACACGCAGCAGTGACAGAACTCACTAAAGCCAAGGCAACCCTTTTTCTGTGGGTCGTAGGAGCCAACCCCTAGGCCCCAGAAAGAAGATGCTACAATCCCACTCCTCCCGGGTACCCCGGAGCTCACCGACCTGCAACTGCAGTCTACGAAGTCTCCACCCCAGTCTCCCTTCGTCCAGAGCACTGGTTGCGATTGGCTTGCACCACTGTCCCGTTAGCACTTCTCCAAGTCTGAGTGGCGTGACGGTCCGGCTTTTGCCTTTGGTCCCGCCCTCGCGCCAGGGCCACGCCCACTCGACGTAGCCGCAGCGCGCACAGGTCTATCCCGGTCTCCGCTCCCCGGCTGCCTGCTTCTGAAAATATCACCGCCTATGGGGCGGGGCATCATGTCCGCGGTCTGAGAGCGACGCCCCGCCTCCTGCGCAAGGACGCCGCGAAGAAGGGGGTGGGGCCACGTTCTCATCAGCGCCATCAGGCTGGAGTGTTGCCTGCGGTGTGTATGGTTTTCCCAGCCAAACGCTTCTGCTCGGTGCCATCCATGGAGGGCGTGCGCTGGGCCTTTTCCTGTGGCACTTGGCTGCCGAGCCGAGCCGAATGGCTGCTGGCGGTGCGATCGATCCAGCCAGAAGAGAAGGAGCGCATTGGCCAGTTCGTCTTTGCCCGGGACGCTAAGGCAGCCATGGTACTACAGGTCTTTGGTATTTGGAGCCCAGGAAGCAGATGCTGGGGGAGGTGGGCCGGGCTACCGGGCCTACACGGTCTTTGTATCATTTTAGAGGCCTCGATCGCTGTGAAAACTAGCTCCTCCTCTGTGCAATTGAAGAGAGAGGCCCTGCTGAATCATAAAAGTGTACAGAAGGCCTACAAAGTGTTAGGTTTTTCTACCCGTAAAGAATGGTCATTTATATTTTTAAATTTAAGTGTTATCAGATTGCATTATCTTTTATGCTGGTGCATAACTCAGGCTAAATCTGCCGTTTACTTATCCCACTACTGTCCAGGGGCACCGTGCACGTGGTAGGCCTCAGAAAATATTGACAGTATGACTTAGCTGGTATCCCTGCCTACTGAGGGATTGGGAGAGGCCTAGGCCAGGCGCCTGTTGTCCAAGAAATGAAACGCAGGAAGCATATAGTCCTGGGCCTAGCTTCCTGACTGCTTGGAAAACAGCATTTTTAATACATGCGTGTGGTTCAGTTATGTATTTTCTAACAAATGACAAATTATATGTAAAAATAAACTGTTTTACTATGTAGTACGATTTGAAACAGCCTCCACTTTCACTTAAGTCGTTTCTTGAAAATACCCCTTCTGTTTGAAATGTGGGCTGTTGATGCATTTTTAAAGGCCTACTAGTGAATATGTTTTTCCACGTTCTTATAATTGTAAGAAATTGGGAAATAAGTGAATTTGAAAGTCCTGTAGTTTTTAAGTCATTGTTAGAATCGATGGAAAGAAAACCCTGAAGGATATTTTTAAAAGTGTCATTCAACCCTTGGAGTTTTTTCTGTTTTTAGTAATTAATAATTAATGGAGCTGCAAGAAAGGAACAAGACAGGTTATGGTGCTAATTTTTGAAGCCAAGCAATTCATATATAATATCTAGAAATACTTGCATATATGTACAGATGGAGATACAGTAGGGCTGCTCTTTGTGGAACTTTTTTATAACAGCAAACCTAGAACCAGGCTAAAATGTCCAATAATAGGGGAATATCAGCCTTATTGTACCTCAATACTGTGAAATAGTATGCTACAGTTAAAAGTACACAGACCAGACTGATATATTAGATATAAAATAATTCCCAGTAGCTACAAATTATAAAGCTTAATAGGTAATACAATACCACATATAGTATGACCTCATATCACTTTCTATAAAAAGAATTAAAAATATGCAGAAGTGTGTATATAAATTTAAATACCTTAAGACTAGAAGGAGGCCTACTATTAACATTATTTATTGGTTAAGGGGAAGAAATTGCTAAGAAAGACTTTAAATGTATTAAGACTTAAACTCTACTTAAGAATCGCTTAGCTTAATCTTAGCCAGGCATGGTGGTACATGCTTGTAATTCCAGTTTTCTGCAGGCTGAGGCATTAAGATCACCTGGAATTCAAGGCTAGCCTGGGCTACATAGTGAATTCAAGAGCAGCACGAACTACACAGCGAGACCCTGTCTAAAAAAACCAGAAAAAAATTTGCTTAATCTTGATGCATTGTATTTAATAATTATGTACTTTGAAAGCAATTAAATTTTTAGAAAACACAGAAATGTACTTTGTATATTATAAACTATGTATATGTTTAGTAGACATCAACATATATCACATGCTTTATGTACTTAACAGGCTGGTCGTCTGATGATAAGAAAATTAGTTGCGGAGAAATTGAATATCCCTTGGCATAATATTCGTTTGCAAAGAACTGCAAAAGGAAAACCAGTTCTTGCAAAAGACTCTTTGAACCCTTACCCCAATTTCAACTTTAACATCTCTCATCAAGGGGACTATGCAGTCCTTGCTGCTGAACCTGAGTTACAAGTTGGAATTGATTTAATGAAGACTAGTTTTCCAGGTAATGTCGCATTTTTGTGGTATAGATATTAAGTGTCTTGATTTCTCAGTTCTCAACTATTGGGTAATCAAACTTTAGGAGAAATAGTTCAGATTTTTTAAATTTGGGGAAAAATTAATACTCAGTATCTGACAGCATGTATCAGACAAAATATATTCCCTGTAATATTAACAGATTTCTACAAAAGATTCTAAATTGGTGGTGATCCATGTAATATTTTGCCAAGAAGCAAAGTGAAATTATTTTCCTTTTGACTTAAACCTCAGTTTGTTTCACGTAAGCATTCCCCACAGTTTATCATTTGTTTGAAAGAAAAATCTTAATGGTAAAGTATGTTGTAGTTCTTAGGTAGAGATGACACTTCCATGCAAACTCTAAATGCAGTTCTTTGTCATATTTATATAGCTAAGTATGAAGAGCAGGCATCATTAAAATATTTAAATTGTATATGTATTGCTGCCAATTTGTTATTGATTGCCTTCAGAGCTGAATTAACTCAGTGCTTATAATACTTCGCACAATGTACAAGTTCTCTAACTCCTCTGTACTTGTTATCACCGATATTTGGGCCATAGCATTTTGCTAAGTGCTTTACGTATGTTCTCCAAATTCTCTCAACCACTCTATGATTACTCTCTTATTATTTTTACGAGACAGTAAGTGATGGGCTAAGAAGAAAGCTATTAATAAATGAACCAGCATCTTCCTAATATTGTAGTATAAATAGCCTAGTCTCACACTGCCTTCACTTCACTTTGCTTATGTGGTTCTTTCAGTCTGCAAAGTTTATGTTAACTTTGTCCTCCACCCCCATTTCTGCATAGATTCCTTATCTACTGGGTCGATTTCATCACATTTTTACTTTAGGGAAGCCTTTTGTGAAGTTCAGTTACAGCTTGCTTCAGTTACAACTTGGTTCTTATATATATTTCCTTTAGTCTAGTATCATAATCTATGTTTAAATTAGTCAATAGCGTAATTGCTTGTCTTTTCCACTTGTGCTTATAAGCTATGTGAGAGCCAAGACCCATGTTAGCTATATCAGAGTTTGATCACTATTATATCTCTTAACCTTACCTAAGTATATAATTTTACTCAATAAATATTTATCAAATGAATGAATAAATACTGTATTGTGATAATATAGGCTTTAGAGTATTGTGAATCTCATCTCACCTTTGCTTGTTACTGGCTATTTTCTCTGTCCTTTTCATAACAACTGTGTTACAATTCTATTCTCTAGTTTGCTCCAAAGAAGGCTCTACTAGTGATTTTGTAACAAGTTCTTCACCTAAACTCTGTGGATAAACAAAGCAGGTTTTTACCCTTCTCACACTGTTTGTTGCATTCTGTAGGAATGTGTCCATGTACATTTTTTCTGTGTCTTTTTGTTTTATTTTGTTTTGTTTTGCTATCACAGAATAACTAAGACAGGGTCGTTTATAAAGAGCTTTATCTTGGTTCATTTTTCTGCAGGCTAGGAACTCCATGAGCAATAGAAGGCCTTGTGCTGGTACAGCTTGAACTCATGGTAGAAAGTGAAAGGGCAAGCTGGCATATATGAAAGGGGCAAAACACTTAATAGATTTCTGCTCTTGAAGTAACTAATCCAGTCCCACAAGAGCAAGAACCCACCTTTTAATGCGTAAGATGTGCTTAATGAATCAAGGCATTCGAGAGGGCATTTCCCCCATGCCCTTGTCAGCTCTTAAATGTTCCACCACCTCTTAGTATACTTACATTGGCAATTCAGTGTCAATATGAGTTTTGGAGGTAACACCATATGCAACCATGTCTCCAAAGAAAGGATCTGGTAATTCATCAGAGTTGTAGAGTGCTTATTCCAAAAGAACCACTGCTATAGAGAATTCAGAAGGAACACAGGATGAGCTCATATGTTTTATAGTTTTGAGCTGTTCTTACATGAGCTTTCCATAAAAGCAGAAATTGTGGAGAGGTCATTAATCCTTTAGAGTGCAGTAGGCACAGGTGCACAGTAGTAGTTGACCCAGAAGGTTGATATTTGCCTGAAAAAGGTGCTGTGAGAAACATTTTTATTACTGATTAGTATGAGGTACAGTGTACTAGATAATAAAAAATTACTAATTGAAGCTTTTTAGATACATGATAGGAAGGTACATGAGCACACATTGAAGATTCAGTTTTCTGTTACTGTTTTATTAAGCATTTTTCCCTCAGCTTTTTTTGATGATTTTTGACTAATCACGGTATGTAGGCCTTTTTTTTTTTTTCAGTTGTTTTCATTTCCAAATATTTATTGCTATATTCAGTGATATGAGAGAAACAGACATTTTCCAGTTGTCACTAGTGCCACTTATTTCTGAAGTATGAATGGACACAGCATAATTTCTTAGTGAGGGTGGAGGTGGACACTGGTTTGCTTCATTGAGGATTCATTTGAATTGCCCTACTTACCAGAATAAGTGAGGAAATTAATCAAGGGATATTCCTAAGAGTCTTGCGAAATGATAGAAGGTAAAGTAGGATAAAAAAAAGTAGGATAGCTACTTTGTAATAGGCATTGTTACTAGATTGTCAACTCTTACGTCAGCTTTTGGGGGGACCTTGGTATATTGAAAAAACCAATTCCATTATACGCATTTTGTTTCTGTAACTACGCATACATAGTAATTTGAGGAATCTTATTTCTTGTTGCTTTGGCCATTTCTACCAAATGTAGCTCAATTCCTCCTCCCAGTTCTCCCACTGTTGTGGCAATAGAGCAGCAGAGAATAAAATGATAGATCTAGGAAACTGGATTTCTTCCTTCTAGCAAGACCGCAATGAAGGAGGTTATTGCAACCAACACTTTTTTTCTGGGTTTAATGAAGAAGTTAACAAGGGACCTTTATACAGAAGTAACTGGTACACACACAAAGTAAATATTTTTTCTGTAAATATCAACAGAAGATGGTTTATAGGCTATTGAGGACCCCAGTATACAGTTGTTGGTATATTCCTCACCTTGGAAAGAAAGGTATTTTCCTAGTAAGATTTTTCCTTTGTTCTCTAATTTTTATCTGCTATTAAAGATATTTGCAGCTTAAGTATAAAGAAAGTATACTTTATGATTTATTTAGTTTTGTTACCATATTTACAAAATGAGGCAAGATAAGACAGCAAGATCAATATAAAAATTAATATATAAATTTTGAGAAAGTCCAGAATATTTTCATGTTGTGTTTCTGTTATAAACATTGAAGATATTAGTTGACAGGACTAAATAATTTATAGACATATTTTGGGATACAGTACTCATTTTAATTAATTTCAGAAATTTGAAATGATTATTGTGGAATTGCTGTCTAAAGCAGCTTCATATAGTAAGTATAAATTAAATGGAACAGCTAAAAATTTAGATGTGGATGTTGTATGATACCTAGGAAGGCCATAGAGCCTCTTTCTTGTTTCCTTCCACCATACCATCTATCCAGCTATTTTTATAGTTTTCTAATTGGTTCCTGCTTTTCACCTTTGTCCTTACCCAGTCAATACAGCCTCCAAACAATGACCTTTTGAAATATCTATGGCAGTTTTCTTAAAACTCTTAAGTTGGTTCTTATTGCACATAGAATAAATTGTAGGCCCCTGGACCCTGTTGTTTTATTCTCATCTGTCTCTCAATTCTCAGACTACCACTTCTCATATTTTTCTGCTGTCTTTGATCACTGTTTTCTGTCCACACTGGTCATGTTTTACCTTGCAAGTCGCAAACTTTTTCTTGTTTAGGCTAGGATCATTGCAAATAAATCTAATTACTCTGCCTGTTCTTCCCACTCTTGACTACCTGTGACTTGAAGAATGAGAAAATAGCCAGTATCTCCTCAGAAAGGACTTCCTGACACTTTATCTTTTCCTTCAAGGCCCTTCTTACTTGTAATTACAATTTAAATTATTTGATTATTATCTCCCTCATTAGAAATGTTCAGGAACCACGCTTGTGTGGTGATTTTTGCCACAGTGTACCAAGTACCTCTTAGTGTCTAGAACATAGCACACATTTGATAAATGTTTATTAAATATACAAAGATGGGGAAAAGTTTAGGGGAGCTCTCTCCTTAATTCTCAAAATACTCCTTAAGTTAGCTGAAAAGTGAAAAAAGATTCACAATCAATGAAAACTTGAATGTCATATTAGTTTCTACTTGGAATATAAACTATTCTCATCAGTGAATTATGATAGCAAATAATTGTGTATTTCACTGTTTGTTTTTTTTTAACCTCCTGTTATGGCTTGTATCTAGATGACCTCCCAAAGCCTCATGCACTCATAGGTGGGGCTTTTCAGAGCTGGCTGGATCTATGGCATGTGATACTGGGAATAAGAGTGTGTGGTACTAAGTTAGTCCACGGATTGGAATTAGCATAGTTCTGGGTGGCACCACCCAAAAGTCTGGTAGCCTGGGTGGGATAAAAGGGAAAGGCAGGCCAGCTGCTTGCTGCTGCTTCTCCCCCTCCTCC